AATTTCACTTTTCTTATAAAATTTTATTTTATAATAATTAAAAATTTTATTGTGAAATTCGAAAAATAACGAAACGTGACACGTATCAATACAAAATTGCTCTTTAAAAAAAAAAAAAAATCGAACCATACATGAGACCTCGAGGAGTCTTAAGATGTATGGTGTTTTAAAAGTAAAATTTGGCATTTGTCATATTCATCCACAAATTTTATTGGCACACTGAACTTTCAAAGCATCACGCGTCAAACAACATGAACATTTCATCGCAGCAAAAAATTTCTTCACACCATACTTGAGTATAAAGAGACACGAGTTTTTCATTGTATAGTAAAATTAATATAAAAATATAAATTCTTATACAACAGCATAAATCTAACCACGTATCATGAAGAGTGAGTTCACGAGTCAGAGACAATAGCTTAGTTTAGGAAATATCGAACATTTAGTGAACTTAGTGATGGCAAATGAACCAGTCGATTCGAGCGACTGGTGTCTTGACTTAAATGAGATTTGGTCTGGGCTCAGACTAGCCCGTGAGCTACATGAGCCCAAATACGATCAAATCGTATGTGGGCTTGTGTAGCCCGCCTTACAAGATTAATTTTTAAACTATTAAATTGATGACCGCTTAGTTTGTAAAATCGTATGTGGGCTCGTGTAGCCCGACTTGCATAATTAATTTTTTAAATTATTAAATTGATGACAACTTGGTGAAATTCAACAACTTGCATAATTTATTTTTTAAAATTTTGAATTAATTCTGCAGTTTATAAATTAGCCATCAATTTTTTATGTATTTGAGTAAAAAAAAATAGAAAAGTACTTGAGTCGGCTTGGCCGGGCAAAGCCTAAACCTTTTTTTTACGAGTCAATATTGAGCCTTGAGCTTGGGCTCGTAAGTCAACTCGACTCGTTGCCACCACTAAGTGAACTTGAGTCTTTATAATGCAATTGTCATTGTTTATAGATCTCCACATCGTGAATCACAATGAAACTCGTGTCAAATCTGAACTCAATAAATGCAAAAATGAGCAAATAAATAGTGGTTGGATGTATATCTTTGCTCGAACCCATAGCCATCAGTTCTTCTTGAAGTATAATGTGCTACGTTAGTAGTTGCGTGAACATCTAGAAAATAATATATAACCCGTTTGACCCCCATTAGTTCACATTATAATGAAAAGAAATAGTAATTTTTTGAAAAACATGTTATTAAAAAAGAAGATTTTTTTTTTATTTACATGTAATATTATTTTATTAAAGAATATATAATTGATAGAAATATAGAGAAAAATAAATTATAATTTAATTCAGAATAATGGAAATCAAACGGAAGCATGGTTTCAATGTAAATGGAGTAAAAAGGGAGTAAACTCTCTCTTTGGTCTCGAAACAACAATTCAAGGTTCATTTATTAAATTTTTTTTATGGAGTTAGAATTAGTTGAGTTAAATGTTTCGTTGACCACCGAACTTTATCAAATAACTCGTTAACCACTAAAATTTCATCCGTCTCACTCCGTTAACCTTCAGATGAAATCCGTTAACAGATCTGTTTATGTGGATGACAGCGGGAACGGATGCAAACTTTTTATGTTGGTGGCACAATCAAACTTTCAAAAAATGAGGAAAAAATTAAAGTAAAAAATATTTTATTACAATTGTTCTCTACGTGTTATCATATTTTGATAACATTCCATAAGTAAAATGAGAAATAGAGAAAAATTT